CCAACAAAGCAGATGAAAGCTGACCTACCATATTAATCCCAGCCTTCAGTTATTGTAGTTCCAACGGATATCAGACAACTCAATTTTACAGGTGTCTTAAGGTAAGCTGCATATCGTGATTGTCTGTGGCATAGTTTTTAAGGGCACAGTCGCTTTCATTAACTAGGTCTGCTGCCTAATAAGGGACATCAAATTAATTAGTTTCAGATCAGTCGGAGGAAATGGAGCAGGAGTTTCTGTGTCTAGTCACTAGTGGAAAAGGGCTTTGTACTAATTTTAAGTCACAATGTGTGACTTTAGTTAAAAAGAAGACATCTTGTAATTCGCTAGCTAAAACATAGACACCTCTCTGGTTCTGATAATTGTTGTGCAAACACCAAATCATACTGCAGGGCTTTGTAGCAGATTTGATATGTGCATACAGTATTTGTTGCTTTGTAATTTCAGCAGAATCAATTTGAGAGATTTTACACATTGGTAAGATAATGCAATTTGTCTGTAAAGTCAAAATGTTGCTATTAGATTTGTCACATATTTGCCATTATTTTTTTCCTGTTTTAACAACTAACTCCAACCTTTTATTCAATGTGAGTGTATGTGTCTGTGGGGGAGGCTATGTATTTATCACTTTAGACTTTTTTTCTCGGAATATGCTAAATTGTGGGGACTTACAGGTGCATGTTGAGACAAACAACTTGCCCCCATGAGATCTTCTAGTATTGGGGTTTAGGCTTAGGACTAAGGTGTAAGTTGAGTTTATATTAGGGCAAAGGTCCTGGTCATGCCAAAAAAATGAATGTGAAACAAATGGGAAAATCCCTGTATAAATAGCATGAAAAATGTAACATGTGTGCGTATATTGCATTTGCTGCTGTATCAGGTTTATTTTGTGGTTCATTACAGACCTAGTCAGAAAAATAGTCCTTATGGGGACCTAAGGACTGTTTCATTAAGACAAAAATATATTTAAGTGCTATTCGGTAACACCTACAACAGCATTTTGTGTGCTGGAATCAGTGATGAAAGTAGACTGGATCTTGTCATATACAAAATGCTATTCAGGCAGTAGCCAACAAGCTCTCTCCCGTCTGCAGTTAGTCCAAAAAGCAGAGGCTTGTCTTTAAATGAGAACCGGAAAACATCAGCACATTACACCAATTCTTGCATCTCTGTACTGTCTCCCTTTTTGTTTTAGAATTGATTTTAAGATTACATTGTTTGTGTTTAGAGCTCTGAATGGAATGGCTCCTCAATACATTACCGACCTCATCCTGATTTACTCTCCAGCACCTACTATGAGGTCTGAGGGCCATCTTCAACTAAGAGTGGCCAAGATGAGGCTTAAAACCAGAAGAGACGCCCTTTTCTGTAGTTGACCCCAGATATTGGAATACTTTGCCCCTCTATATACTAACAGCCTACAGTCCATGCATCCCCAAACTCGGTCCTCGAGGGCCGCTGTCCTTCAGGTTTTAGAGGTTTCCTAGCTGCAGCACAGCTGATTTTAATTGAAAGCTGATTGACAGGCTTTTGCTGTACTGCAATCATTATAATCAGCTGTGCTAAAGCAGGGAAACCTCTAAAACCTGCAGGACAGCGGCCCTTGAGGACCGACTTTGGGGATGCCTGGCCTACACAGTGGAGTGTTTTAAGTTTCGTCTTAAGACTAACTTGTACTCTTTGGCTTTTAACACCACACCATTGTGTGCTCCTCTGTGTCCTTTATTTGACTGCTTTTTTGTGTGTGTTGGTTCTTTGAGTTTGTTTTTATGTACAGAACATTGGAAACATTTTTGTCTTTTAATGTGCTTTATAAATAAAGTGGAT